CTCCTGCCTCAGCCTCTGAGTAGCTGGGATTACAGGTGCGTGCCACTGCACCAGGCTAAATTTTTGTATTTTTTGTAGAGATGGGGTTTCACCATGTTGGTCAGGCTGGTCTCAAACTCCTAACCTCAGGTAATCCGCCCTCCTTGGCCTCCCAAAGTGCTGGGATTATAGGCATGAACCACTGCACCTGGCCAATTATTATTCTTTTTTTTTTTTTGGAGACGGAGTTTCGCTCGTTACCCAGGCTGGAGTGCAATGGCGCGATCTCGGCTCACTGCAACCTCCGCCTCCTGGGTTCAGGCAATTCTCCTGCCTCAGCCTCCTGAGTAGCTGGGATTACAGGCACGTGCCACCATGCCCAGCCAATTATTATTCTTAATCTCTTTTTCATGAGGTGTCACCTCAGTCTATAAGGATGATGTCTTGACAGAGCTGGCACCGGGGCATCTGGGTGAGGAGGGAGAGGGAGAAGGCAGGGGAGGATTGTGACTTATTCACAAATCTGAGTAGATACTGCTACCTTGTATGGCCTGCCCTGGGAAAGCAGGACGCTCCTCCTCAGATGGCAACAGTCGTCCGTGTGGTCAGGAACACAGCTCCCTGCTTCTCCAGCCAGTCACAGGTCCTTTCTCATTTCCAGGGCCCAGGCTCAGGTACCCTCAGAGGGAAGGGCATCAGAGGGAGGGGCCAGCAGCCTAGGCTGGTCAGGGCTGGGCTGGGCAGGGCTTGGGTGGTTTGGCTGTCTACATAAAGGGACCAGCACTTCACCCTGCATCAGGAGAGAGTCCACCAGAAGGGAACTTTCAGCTCCTGGCATCTGTGAGGTAGTAAGGAGGGAGGTGTCTGCGCTGGTGAGGAAGGTGTCTTTGATCCATCTGTGTGGGAGCAATGATGCCAGCTCAGGTCTGGTCTCAGTTTCAGAGATTGAGTTTCAGGAAAATGAGCCCATGGCCCCTTGGGTATTTATAGCGTTGGACAGCAGTGGGGGATATTCCGGGAGGTTCTAGAATGCACACAAGCCCATCACTTTCCATTTGAGGTTGAATGCACACAAGCCCATCACTTTCCATTTGAGGTTTCCTGAGTCAGAAAGGTCAGGGAGTAAGAATGAGAAGATGACAAAGGAGGGGCCAGCCAGTGATACTATGCATCTTGATTTTCCTTAGAGGACAATGACCAGATTCGGCTTCCTGCTGTTTCTGTCCGTGGCCACCAGTGGGCGCAGTGCAGGTAAATTGCTCCTGAGAGTAGGAGCTGCAGTTTGCTGTGCGCCTCTCTGCTGTGCAGGGCCCTGGAGGGAGTTGAGCTGGGTAGGGCTCTGAGGTCCAGGGCGGGAGGGGAAGGCCTGGAGATGCACGGAACCCATGCTAAGCAGCCAACTTGAGGCGTGGACTGGCTGCTGATTTCTGGTCTCCCCTGGGGTCTGGTCTGAAGCAGTCAGGATGTTAGCTCAGGTGTATCCTGGGGTCTGATTGTCTGCTTCTGTGGCTCTGAGGGGTTCGTGGGTAAGAGAGTAGGAACTGTGTCCCTGCTCAGCTGCTCTGGCTCTCGTGGCCTTGGCCTCGGGATCTCAAGAGGGAGCTGGGTGATCAGTGCTGTGTCCAGGGTGTACCCTCCTCTAGTTGCCATCCTCATAATTCTATTCTTACAGTAGGCATGATAGTGATACTTTTTCATTGACATTGGGTTCTATTGTTTATTTCAATCAGTTAAAAAAAGCACATTTACATATGACATCTCATTTGATCTCCATGAGTATAAAGAAGTTATTAATGCCGGGCTTGGTGGCTCACGCCTGTAATCCTAGCACATTGGGAGGCTGAGGTGGGTGGATCACCTGAGGTCAGGAGTTCAAGACCAGCCTGGCCATCATGGTGAAACCCCATCTTAAAAAAAAAAAAAAAAAAAAAAGAAGTTATTAATGACATCTTTTGTTTTGTTTTGTTTTGTTTTTGCGACAGAGTCTTGCTCTGTGGTCAGGCTGGAGTGCAGTTGCCGGATCTTGGCTCACTGCAACCTCTGCCTTCCAGGTTCAAGCGATTCTTCTGCCTCAGCCTCCTGAGTAGCTGGAATTATAGGTGTGTGCCACCACGCCCCACTAATTTTTGTATTTTTAGTAGAGACAGGGTTTCACCATGTTGGTCAGGCTGGTCTTGAACTCCTGATCTCGTGATCTGCCTGCCTTGGCCTCCCAAAGTGCCGGGATTACAGGTGTGAGCCACTATGCCCAGGCATCTGGGGTTTTGAGTCCTGTATTTTATTTTGTTGTTGAGACAGAGTCTTCCTCTGTCGCCTAGGCTGAAGTACAGTGGTGCGATCTCCGCTCACTGGAATCTCCACCTCCTGGGTTCAAGTGATTTTCCTGCCTCAGCCTCCCCAGTAGCTGGGATTACAGGTACACACCACCACACCTGTCTAATTTTTTGTATTTTTACATTCGGGCTTTAGCTATATTGGCAAGTCTGGTCTCTTGACCTCGTGATCTGCCCACCTTGGCCTCCCAAAGTGCTAGGATTATAGGCATGAGTCACCATGCCCAGGTTGAGTCCTATAATTTTAAATACACTTTTTCCCACTCTGCCAGGCTTTTGGAATAATTTCTAGGCTTTTAGACTAATATACATAGTCCTTCATCCACTGGCCTCAGTGAAGTTTTTGGCTTTGGTTTCCACCCCTCTTTGTATCACAACGTATGGTCCAGCCATAGTAAGTGACTGACCTGCAGTTTTTAGCAGGCTGGGCTGGGCTGGGCTCTGCTATTGCTTCAGGCCGTCTCATGGGCTTTCTTCTCTTCCTGGGGTGCACTCTCCCCTTTCCTTCCTGTTTTATAGCTGGCTCCCATTCTTCCATCAAAATCAGCCTGCTCTGAGTTACAGCTGGTCCCTTCCCCAGCGAGTTCCCAGGGCTCGGCCCATAGGTGGGCCTGCCCTCGCATCTCAGTTGGGTCCCTTTCCATGTGCTCCTCCCCTGTAGAATGTAGTTTCTTGAAGAAATGTGTCCAGTTGTCTCTGCCCAGTGTCTAGGTAGTTTACACAGTAGGGATTTAATTAAAGGTAGTCGAGTGGAAGATTCTAGGTGTTTCAGCTGTACCAGCTGTTGGATCAGATGATCTTAGCATAGAGAATCCCTGACTTCCTGGGACTTCAGAGCAGAGTGATGAGTTGATACAGAGGCAGAGATTGGCCAGGAAAGATGGTCTCAGTGGTCAGTCTTTTTGTTTTGTTTTGTGAGACGGCATCTAGCTCTGTCGCCCAGGCTGGAGTACAGTGGCACGATCTCGGCTCACTGCAATCTCCGCCTCCCAGGTTCAAGTGATTCTCCTGCCCTAGCCTCCTGAGTAGCTGGGACTACAGGTGTGTGCCACCATGCCTGGCTAAGTTTTTGTATTTTTAATAGAGATGAGGTTTCACCATGTTGTCCAGGATGGTCTCTACCTCCTAACCTCGTGATCTGCCTGCCTTAGCCTTCCAAAGTGCTGGGATTATAAGCATGAACCACCACTCCTAGCATCAGTGGTCAGATTTGTAATGAGAATCATTCTCACATCTTTTAGCAGCGGCCTCTTCTCTTGAGATGCTCTCGAGGATGGACGGAAGCTGTGTCTCCTCCTTTTCTTCCCTGCCTAGAAACTGCAAGGAAATCAAGGAATGTTGCCATAGCGCAGGTGGTGAGTGACGAACCAACTCAGCATTCTCTCTCCAACACCACTTTTTAGGTCCACAGAGCCCACTCCTAGAAATCAGGAGGGACAAACCCATGTGGAGCCTGTTCTGCCCCCAGCTGCTGGTCAAGGAGGTTTCTAGTGGGAACTTGGAGGCTTTTGTGTCCCATTTCAGTCACACAATCTTCTGAACACAGACAGGGCAGTGTTTCTGGCGATGCTTAGCGTGGCGGTAAGAACTGTGATGAATCTTTTGCCCCTACTTGCCCCGGGTTTATAGATGCTGGCAGAAAACCTGAAACTCCCGAGCCAGAGACAAAGAGCTTTATTAATCACAGGAATAGCAGTAGCCAGAGCATCAGCATTTTCTTGTACTGCGCCAGGTGACATCCGCACAAGTAGTAGCCTCGTCAATCAGGCTGACAAATTTGGCTGGCAAAGAAACGACAAGGCCTTTTTAGAGCCAGAGTGTTTATTACTCACATAGAAAGCAAATTCAAGATCGGCAAGTGTCAGCTTTTCCCATCCCTTGTCCCACAAGGCGGCATGGAAAAGAAGGAAGTGACAACGCAACATGGGCAGTGGCTGAGGAGCTAGTCCATGCTGCCATAGCCGTTTCATAGCCTGTGTACCTTACGGCATTGGGGCGAGCGAGGCAAAAAGCCTCATATACCTCTTCAGAACCCGGGAGGTGACGACACAGTCATGACAGCCGTCTCAAGACAGCTTCCACGAAGATAGGGAGAGGGTGAGAAGTGACCTCGTTGCAGTTCCTCTCAAGCTTCCCACCTTTCCATGTTTTAGGGAGATCACAGGCTTTCTGGCAAGGCTTAGGTCAGCTGTCCCTACGTGGCCTATGCGCGAATGTGCAATGTCACCGGGATGCCTCAGAGGAGCCAGTCTCCTGCAAGCTTGTGAACAGGAGGCGAGCTCTGAGCTTAGGGAAGCTGACTCTTATGTGTTGGGCACAACCTTTGCTCTGAGCTGCACAGAGGCCCTATTCTGTCTCAGATGTGGCTGTGTGCTGATTTCTGGCCTCTCCTGGCCACAGGGTGGCAATGTCGAGAGGGAGATCCACCTGTCTCTCTTCTAAGGCTATTTGCTCTACAACTCTGAAAGGATAGTGTGAAGCCAAGGCAGTCAGTGCCCCTGCTCCTAGGTGAGCAGAACACAAGACGTGTGGAGCATCATCTTCCAACAAGTACGTGTTGGAGCCTTCAGAGCATACTTTTGACTTCCTAGGACTTTTTGGTCATGGGGCTGAGATGGACCCTGAGCTATAGACAGGGGGCTGGGATGATTTTCTCTACAGATGGCCTGTATTTTCTCCGCACCAAGAATGGTGTTATCACAGACCTTCTGTGACATGACCTCTGGGGGTGGCAGCTGGACCCTGGTGGCCAGCGTGCATGAGAATGACATGCATGGGAAGTGCACGGTGAGCAATCACTGGTCTAGTCAGCAGGGCAACAAAGCAGACCACCCAGAGGGGAATGGCAACTGGGCCAACTACACCTTTGGGTCTGCAGAGGCGGCCACAAGCAATGACTGCAAGGTTGGTGCCACTTCCCACCTGCTTGGGTGAGGGTGAGGAGTGGAGTGAGGCTGGCCACAGGCCTGCAGGAGGGAGGGCTGGAAGGTGGGATGTGGGGAAGGGCTGGAGAAGAAGAGAGAAATACATGTCTTGAATGACAACTTCTTCCCAGCAAGACCGTTAGGGCCTGGGTGGTGGTGGAATCATCTGTTGGGAGTGGGGTGTCTGAGCATGGCTGGCCATCTGCTCACTTGGAGTCCAGAGCTCTCAGTCCAGCTGAGGCTGCATGTGTGGACCTTTTGCCTCCTGGGACCTCCTTGCCCCATCAGACTCAGTGTCTGTTGCTTTCCAGATCCCTGGCTACTATGACATCCAGGCCAAGGACCTGGGCATCTGGCATGTGCCCAACAAGTCCCCCATGCAGCACTGGAGAAACAGAGCCCTGCTGAGGTACCACACCAACACTGGCTTCTTCCAGAGCCTGGGACATAATCTGTTTGGCTTCTACCAGGTACACAGGGCTGCTGGCTGGGGGCACTTTCTTTGGTGACCACAGAGCCAAGTGTCTGGGGTAGGGGACAGATCCGTTCTGTGGTTCCACATTACTACTGAGTGGTTGGCTGTTTCTCTTTCCTTTGGTTCACATGAACTCATGTTCAGCCTCTCAGAAACTCTAAGCCAGGCAAGGAAGAGGCCCGTGGGACAGGAGAGCATAGGGAGAAAGAGACAGGGACGAAGGGCTTGGGGCTGTTGGGGAGACACAGCTACAGGGAAAAGGAGTCACTGTTATTATTGTTTTTTACTGAGATGGAGTCTCACTCTGTCTCTAAGGCTGGAGTGCAGCGGCATGATCTCAGCTCACTACAACCTCTGCCTCCTGGGTTTAAGCAATTCTCCTGCCTCAGCCTCCTGAGTAGCTGGGACTACAGCCGTGTGCCACCACACCCAGCTAATTTTTTATTTTTAGTAGAGATAGGGTTTCATCATGTTGGCCAGGCTGGTCTTGAACTCCTGACCTCAGGTGATCCACCTGCCTTGGCCTCCCCAAGTCCTGGGATTACAGGCATGAGCCACCAGGCCCGGCAGGAGTCACTATTATTATGATTGGTTTTGGTTAATGGCAGTTAACTTGAAGGCCCCCTCCCCCCCACTATGGCAGCATCTCTAATGCCCTCACAAAACCTCTCTTCTTGGTCTCTGCAGAAATATCCAGTGAAATACGGATTAGGGAAATGTTGGAATGACAATGGCCCAGCCATACCTGTGGTCTATGACTTTGGTGATGCTAAGAAGACTGCATCTTATTACACACCACATGGTCAATGTGAGTGTTTGCTCCCTCGTCCCATCGTAAATATTTTCTTGCTCTCTTGGAAGGATGGCGGATAGCAACGATTAATAATTGCTCTGATTTACTGAGCACTTAAAATGCGCCAGACTCTTTTCTGGGAACTTAAGATGATTTTGTGTCTTTTTTTTTTTTTTTTTTTTGAGACGGGGTTTCGCTGTTGTTACCCAGGCTGGAGTGCAATGGCACGATCTCGGCTGCAACCTCCGCAATTCAAGCAATTCTCCTGTCTCAGTCTCCCGAGTAGCTGGGACTACAGGCGCGCACCACCACGCCCAGCTAATTTTTGTATTTTGAGTAGAGACAGGGTTTCACCTCGTTGAGTAGGATGGTCTCGATCTCTTGACCTCGTGATCCACCTGCCTCGGCCTCCCAAAGTGCTGGGATTATAGGTGCGAGCCACTGTGCCCGGCTGATTTTGTGTCATTTAATTATCATGAGGAAACTTTGAAGTTAGAATTGCTGTTACCCCTATTTCACAGGATGTAATCCCAGGCTTCTCATCACTGCCTTGAGTATAGCCTCTTATAATAGTTAAGAGAAGGTGCACGCTGAGGTTCACAAGAAAGACCCCCTAGCAGAGTGGTGAGAGAGATTTACTTTTGTTATGAAGGATAACTATTAATTATCTTACAAAAAGACAGTTTTCAGTATAATAAGGCCACAGAGGTTAAGTTGTGGATGAAAAACTCAAAGACACCATTGTTGTCCTTTGATATTCCGATGAAAGCAGGTGGCAGTCATGAAAATCCACCCATGGGAATTGGATGAGAAGTGTGTAAACAGCAACAGGCAGCCACATTCGATCATTGCTTATTCCTGCTGGGCCTTCTCAGACGGTTTTGGTAATCTTTCTGTAGCGTCTAGTTTCTCCTATAAGCTGTAGGCAGACAAGGGACCTTTTGTGAGCCCCAGCCTTTGTCCTCTTGCCCCAGATGAAAAGAGGTTTCCTTGGGGACAAGTTTAGGACTGACGAGCACCAGCCACTTGCCATAGGGGTGCTAGGCTAAACCCCCACAGCCTGGCATGATTAGCTGTAGCCTCAGCTTTCGGCTTAGGGAATCCCTGGACTGGACAATGGGAAGCTGCTTTTAGCTCCTCCTTTGAATACTTGGCCCTTTCTTTGCCTCTTCTTTTTCAGTGGAATTTGTTGCAGGATTTGTCCAGTTCAGGGTTTTTAATAATGAAAGAGCAGCCAATGCCCCTTGTGCTGGGATAAGAGTTACTGGCTGTAACACTGAGCCTGTGTTTTTGGGGCGATCAGTGGCCCCTGCGTTTGCGTGCATGTGCGCGTGCATGCAGCTGCGTGGTGTGTAGCGGTGCATGTCTGTGGCTACTTGCTTATTCTCATTATTCTGTTTACTCTCATTACTCGCTTGATGACGTCTTATGAGTATAATTATTTTTAATTTTTTCTTTGAAGAGTTCTGATTTTTAATAAAAATGAAGTGTTTCAAAGTTTGGAGTAGTAGACGCCAGAAGTTGAGTATAATTTATATATTTATTTTTTGAGATTGGATTCTTGCTCTGTCGCCTAGGCTGGAGTGCAGTGGTGCGATCTCAGCTTGCTGCAACCTCCACCTCCTCAGCTCAAGCGATTCTCCTGCCTCAGCCTCTCGAGCAGCTGGGGCTACAGGCACGTGCCACCATGCCCGGCTAATTTTTGTATTTTTAGTAGAGACGGGGTTTCACCATGTTGACCAGAATGGTCTCGATCTCTTGACCTCGTGATCCACCTGCCTCAGCCTCCCAAAGTGCTGGGATTACAGGCTTGAGCTGCCGCGCCTGGCAAAAGTTTTATATTTTTATTGTTCTTCCAGTCTTGTAGGAGAGAGCACCATAGCTGTAGTGGTTGGAGATTGCCTTTGAGGGACATCTTGTGCCTGGGGGCTGGAGGAAGAGAGCATCAGAACCATTAAGAACAAGGGTATTCACTTAGAGCCCCCCAGCCTGAACTCACAGCTGCATCTTCACTTCCCTGCCTCACATACCAGCTTGTGCATTTTCCAGCTAAGATGAGGCAGCCATGTGCTCATGAAGGGACTCGTAGATTAGAACTCAGAGGATGCTGGCCATGTGGGCACTGGGGGTGGACTAGAGTATGTGTCTTTATGCCGTTTTCCTTGACAACCTTCTCCACTTGCTCCTTGCTCCTCAGACTGTCCATTGTGCATGTTTGTGTATGTTCCTGCATGCATTGCTTCTTTAAAATGCATGCACAGGGCCGGGTGCGGTGGCTCATCTCTGTAATCCCAGCAATTTGGAAGGCCAGGGTGGGTGGATCATTGGAGGTCTGGCATTCAAGACCAGCCTTGGGGTCACTGGTGTCAGCAGCCAATCAAATCCCTCGCGGTGTCTCTTCTTTCTGTTTCCCAGCACTGCATGGTGGAGGAGTGTTCCTTCCAGAGGGTAATCCCCGTCCGTGTGGGGACTTCTCTGCCTTTGACTGGAATGGATATGGAGCTCACATTAAGAGCAGCTGCAGTCAGCAGATATCGGAGGCCACTGTACTCTTGCTCTATAGATGAAAGAGATCTCTGCAGTGTGGGGATGAGAACCCATCTTCTGACGCTGGCTATTTGGAGACAGAAAAACTGGCATTCTAACAAGGAGGAGGGGAGAATAAATTACATCAATCTGTAACTCTATGTTTCTTTGAATTCTTTTTACAAACTGGCTGATGTGTTGAGGGATATTTTAAAAGAACACCTGTGGTTCTGGTGAATTTCACCTCAGATATTCTGGGCTTGTACAGTGGCCAGGAAGAACCTACTGAATAAAAGTGTGTTCACTTCAGCAACATGTATACTAAAATTGGAATAATACAGAGAAGATTAGCTAAAAGATATAAAAAATTGAAAAATAAAGGCATTCTGGGCCAGGGATGGTGGCTCATGCCTGTAATCCCAGCACTTTGGGAGGCCGAGGCAGGTGGATTGCCCGGGGTCAGGAGTTTGAGACCAGCCTGGGCAACATGGCAAAATTTAATCTTTATAAGAAGTACAAAAATTAGCTAAGTGATAATGTGTACCCTCAATCCAGTATGACTGATACCCTTATAAGAAGAGAAGAGAGGCAGACACAGACACACAAACAGAAGGAAGGCAGCCATATGAAGAGGGAGGCAGAGAGTGGAGTTATGTGGCCACAAATCAAGAAATACCGAGGATTGGCCAGGCATGGTGCCTCACGCCTGTAATCCCAGTACTTTTGGAGGGTGAGGTGGGAGGATTGCTTGAGCCCAGGGGTCTGAGACTAGCCTTGGCAAAAAACTTAGTGAAACTGGCCGGGCACGGCGGCTCACGCCTATAATCCCAGCACTTTGGGAGGCCGAGGTGAGTGGATCACGAATTCAAGAGATCGAGACCATCCTGGTCAACAAGGTGAAACCCCGTCCCTACTAAAAATACAAAAATTAGCTGGGCATGGTGGCGCGTGCCTGTAGTCCCAGCTACTCGGGAGGCTGAAGCTGGAAGAGGCAAGCAAAGATCCTCCTGCAGAGTCTTTGGATAGAGCATAACCATGCTGATGCCTTAATTTTGGGACTTCTAAGTTCTGAAAGAGTGTATTCCTTAAAATTACTCTCTTTAAACCTAGGTTATGAAAACTTGTTATGGCAATTCTAGGAAACTATACAATTGTGTCTTACTGGTTTTTTTTCACTCTACTAGTTTGAAAAATTGCATGCTTTTTTTTCTGTCCTTTTAGTGGCTACTCTGGAACAGCAGCCTTCATGAATGTTTTCTGTTCACTAATTTGTGTGTTCATTTCTTTACAAGCATTAATTGAGAGCCTATTATATGCCAGAACATATGTAGATGCTGGGGATATAGTAACAAGCCAGGTAAACATTTCTGCCTTTTTGGAGCTTGTACTCTAGTACCAGGAAGCATATGATATGCAATAAAAATCAATAATAGAATGTCAAGTTTTTATTTAAATTTATTTTTTAATTTTTTTTTTAGAGATGGAGTTTCACCATGTTGGTAAGAATGGTCTCGATCTCTTGACCTTGTGCGTGATCTGCCCGCCTCGGCCTCCCAAAGTGCTGGGATTACAGGCATCAGCCACCTTGCCTGGCCAATTTTTTTTTTATTTTTTTAAACCAGGTCTCTTTATGTTGTCCAGGCTGTTCTTGAACTCTTGGGCTCAAATGATCCTCCTAATTCAGCCTCCCCAAATGCTGGGATGACAGCTGTGAGCCACCACACCCAGCCTAGAATGTGAAGTTTTGAAAAGTGCTGTGGAGAAAAAGGAAGTTGAGTAGGAACGTAGTTATATTGGGGGTGGTGCTGGTTTACAACTTTAATAGATCTTTAGGGAGGGCTTCAGTGAGGAAAGATCTGAAGAAGGTGAGGGATTGAGCCACGAAGTACCAGGCAGAGAGAACAGCAACTGCCAAGATCTTGCGGTGGGAGTGTGTTCACTATGTCCAGGAGTTGTGAGGGGGTTTGGCTAGCAGAAGCTGAGTAAGTACAGAGGAGAACGGCGGGTCATGACAGCAGAAAGGTAAGATGGGGACAGATTGTGTAGGATATTGTAGGCCTTCTGGGCAGGACTACAAGCCTTCAGAGGGGTCTGAGTAGGGGAGTAGCCTGATTTACCAGGATGACTTCGGCTATGTTGAGGATATTTTAAAGACTGCCAAGGGCAGAAGCAGGGAAACCAAAGAGGAGACATGCAGCCAGGTGATGCTAGTGGCGTAGATGAAGATGATAGCCGGGAGGTGTGAATGGTGGTCAAGTTAGACTATTTTGAAGGTGAGGCTGACTGATTGGATGTGGTATGTGAGTGAGAGAGAAGCATAAAGGGGTGCTTTTACTCGATCAAAAATACATTGATTGGCTTTGGGTTGCTTTGCAATGAAATGTACAGTAAAATCATGGTACTGTCTTGTTCCATAGCATTTCTCTTTTGGGAATCCAGAATTTTTGGAGATCTGTTTGCTTTCCAGCTGTGCCTTTTTATTAGGCTCTAGAAACTGCATGTTTTCCTAGCCTTATTCCACAAAGGACTCCACCCTGAATCCAGTAATCCAATTAAGAATCTTTTATTTTTATTTTTAGTTTTTTTTAAAGACGGGGTCTCACCATGTTGGTCAGGCTGGTCTTGAACTCCCTACCTCAGGTGATATGCCTGCCTTGGCCTCCAAAGTGCTTGGATTACAGGCATGAGCCACCACGCCCGGCCTTAAGAATCTTAAAACTGGCTAATGAACAGTCTTACAATTACTGGATCTTTTTCTGTCTATATATTTAAGTGTTGTGTGTGATGTTGATATGAAAAAGTTCTGATTAATTGGCTTAAAATAATAAGTACTTGATACCATATATGGCTAATTTTTTATTTTTAGTAGAGACAGGGTTTCACCATGTTGGCCTGGCTGGTCTCGAACTCCTGATCTCAGGTGATCCACCCGCCTTGGCCTCCCAAAGTGTTGGGATTACAGGCATGAGCCACCACAGCTGACCACTTTGTCAGATTTTCATGCTAAATCTGCCAATACTGAAATTGTTTAAATATGTAATTTGTATAAATTCCATGGCCTAAGTCAAATTACTTATGATAACCTATCAGTTTCAGTGCTATGCCCCTAAATTGGAGAAACAACTAGTATTCAAGAGGATATAAGTCCAGTTAAGCATGGACTCATGGAGAAGTGGGATGGCTGCCTTCTCCTTTCTGAGTCCTTAAAGCTTTTGTTATTAAAAGCTCTTCATCCTATGACTCATTATGGAAAAGATAAGATGATCCAAATTAAATATATTTTGGTGTGGTGACTTCTAAATTGCTAAAATAGTTTATGACCAATGTTTGGTTTGTCCAACCCATATTCCTGGGAAGAAGATCAAAGCCTCAACATTCTGCTACCTGATGGGCCGTTTAAACATTTATAGAGGGCAGCCCCCTGGCACCAAGCAGCCTGAAAGTGCCCCAGCCCAGAAGCTAAACATTTATAGAGAGAAGTGATTAATTGTCATTTTCTTTCTTTCTTTCTTTCTTTTCTTGAGACGAAGTTTCGCTGTTGTTACCCAGACTGGAGTACAATGGCACGATCTCGGCTCACTGCAACCTCTGCCTTCTGGGTTCAAGCAATTCTTCTGCCTCAGCCTCCCAAGTAGCTGGGACTACAGGCGCGCACCACCATAAAATTTTTGTATTTTTAGTAGAGACGGGGTTTCACCTTGTTGACCAGGATGATCCTGATCTCTTGACCTCGTGATCCACCCGCCTCGGCCTCCCAAAGTGCTGGGATTATAGGCGTGAGCCACCTTGCCCGGCTAATTGTCATTTTCAATGCATGTTTCCTGGTTGTA